TACATGGCTAGGAGTAATCACGCCTTGCAGGTGACGGTGGGATAGTATAAGCCAGAATGACTTGAAAAACAACTGGACTGTGAAATCTCGATAGATACAGTCAGCAGACTATCAACTTTGTCTACAGTAAAAAGCATAACTGATATGAATTACAAGATTTATATCAAAACAGGTTTCAAGAGTATCCATAAAATCCGCATAGTGAAATACGCTGGGGCAATAGCTCCCTAAAAAACTAGGCACACTTCCATGTATGCAATCAAAAGCAATTCAATAATACTCTTAACCTTCCTTGGTAATTCTTGTTTGACTGTATTATTAGGAGTAGAGTTAATTATTATCTGTCTTATTATTAAACCTAATTGGCCTTGCATTTTCTCATTTTTCATATAATATATTTTGACAGGCAATTTTGTGGTCAGATTGCTCAAAATGTATCGCATGAACACACCACATTTTTAAGATAAACTCTGTCTTCTAATAACGCTATCCAGATATCCATTCATTGCAAATCATGCTAAGTTTCTAGAAACTTGCTCTGAATCCTCTAAATCATTCCATTAGTTCTGGAGTCTATAGTTTTTTTTTGTTATCAGGGAAGACTTTTCATTTTACTGACTCCTAAAGTTTTGTATGTCGGAAGTCGTGCACATCAGTGAAAGCAACGGCATCGAAAAAAGTATCCACTTAATCTATAAAACATATGCATTATTTCACTGATAGTTTTATTCTTAAAAATAAGAAGAAATAGTGGGTATCAAAACAGGACTTAGTTTTCTTTTGAATTTATTGATGAACTTCGAATTATTTGTGTAGCCCGGATATTTCACTAAACTTAACCTTTATATACGACCACTCTTCAGTCAGCATCCAATTTCAAAGAAAATGCAAAGTCAAGCGTTGACCAGTGTTTATACTGACTACTTAGTTATATAAAGAAATTTTTCTGACTTTTGTTTATCACTAAGTTTTTCAAGAATATTATTCATCACTGTGAAAAGTATTAAATCTTTTCCTAAAATTAATAATCGGCTAGGTAGCTTCTAGAGCATACGCACTGCATAGAAATGAAATGAAAGATAAGCAACTTTTGAAGTGTTCTTTTTGGTAAAGTTTGTGTAATAGAGCTAAAGCCTCCCCTCACTTTCACTCGAAAGTCACAATATTCAAATTTGTCGCAAAGGTTTTCTCAAAATAATATTCAAAAATTATAAAGCCTGAAAAATGACTTCAGCTTTCTTTCACAGTTCTTTTTCCTACTAGTTGAAAATGAAATTATCTTATTTACAAGTTATGAATATATAAAATGACAGTAGATTACTTAAATTTTATGTGATGTTCATTTTTTTTCTTAGAAAGTCGATCTTTTATGCAAAAAACACTTTTCATTAGTCTTATTCTACATATATAAACGCTATGAAGTTTTAGATAATTTCAAACTTAAGTGAATTTTTTTCCTGTCTCTATGCCATAGAAAACATTAGACTAGATGACTTTTTACAGTGTCCTACTACAGACATATTTTCGAAAAATTTCACTTTTTGTAAAGTTAAAACGAAAGAAAAAAACAACTCGTACTGCGACAGCCTTTTGGCTTTCACTAGTTATTAATATAGAGACTGTGTATTTATAGTCAGGTTAATACAACTTAAGAGAAATTGTTTATATTGTTCAAATTAGGGCTTCTGACACTTTTGTCTGCTATGAAATTTCTTTCCGGTGAAATAAAAAATGCGACGAAGATAGATGTGAAGTGATGGAACTACAAAGCTTTTAAGGGTATTCAGCAGGTCTCTAAATATTTGTGAAACATGCTTGCTTAATCATAAAATCAGTAAATTTGAGACTGCTGAAATGAGTTTTTTTAAAGTGTCTGGCTATTTCTCCCCTCAATTTATTTCTAGACGAAGATGAGTTAGAATTACAATTCGTATGTGTATTTCCTCTGAAAGCTTTTTCTCAGAGGGAATTAAATAAATTGGTTTTAAATTTCGAATATTTCAAACAAATGACACTCATTTCATACATCACAATGGGAAAAATCTAACGGTTGGTGGAAAACTACGATGTTTTTTTTTCTGTCGATTGACCCAGATTTTGTTGACAGCTTGTATCCTAGTTGCAACAGTGATGTTTTAACAGATATCATTGCCCTACATGCATTCACGTCTGGTTTTGTCACTTTACTATGGCGTTTACTACACAATTTATAAATTGACAGAAGGATGTAGCATTAAAACTAGAGCATTCGTTGCAAATTGTTTCTTACAGAGAAAAAAGCTAGGGTCTAAGGTTGAATTCTAAACTGAGCAAACAGGAAAAAAAGTTATTTCATTCCCTTGTGTGCGTCTGATTCGAAAAATAATGTTTTTATAAGAATTTAGACATCCAGCTAAACGTTATTTCGTAGTTACCTGAACTAAGGAGATTTTCGTGATTGTTTCCTTATTTGAATATGAATAAACAGCTTTTAAAAATGGTTTTGAATGCTCACTTAACTATTCGTTCATTGAATTCCAAGCCGAATTTAGGTCTCAGAGATACCAACCATCACTTTCACCTGGTTATCTGACTGCCAAAATTCTTAATTTCCTCCTCATATGATCTCCTCCATGTCACCGTCGGACGCTCAATTCTTCCGTTTCTAATTGGGTTCCAAGCACGGGTCTCGTATGTGATGCCACCTGAATATCTCACTAGCGTACATCCAATCGATCTCCTTCTCATTCTGAATATTTGTCGGTTAATTCTGATGCCAGTCAGCAATCTATCTTACCTTCAGTGTCAAGCCAGAGGAAGCAGCTTCTGAAGACAGTCTGAAATAGCCTATCTCTAAACCATAGAGAAAAACTGATCTGACACTAGTAGTGAAAATTCGGATATTGTTCTTTGCGCTTCGTTCTCCCTATCTCCGCACCGATTTTCTGACTCATTTCTAGCTTTAACATCTTTTCTGCGCCGCATGAAGTTGAGACGACTGATACTGTCTACGTAAATGAATAACGTTAATATCTTTGGATTCCTTCCATTTACAATGACTTGCAATTGTTATTGGTGATTGAGTACCTTTAAGACTTCTATCACCTCTGTGTTCATCTGAAATCCTCTCTTGTCTGCCTCTTCTACCAAACTGTTTGCTTTTGCCCGTATTTCTTCGAATTCGTGCCATATGAAGTCTTATGTATCTGCAAAATCCAGATCTACCAGAGTCATTTCGTCAGCCAAACTTACGTCCATCCTCTTAACCCCTACGCTTTATTGCACGATCCAGTCTACTTGAATAAAGGAGATCAGAGGTTATAATAAGCCCTTTTGTCTTATTCTTTCCTTCACTTCAAAAACTCCGGTGGCCTTCCGCTGAGAAATAATTGAGATGCAGTATCACAACCATACAGCTGCTTATTGATATTGATAAATGTTTCCATACAGTACCATAAGATTAATCTGACATCGTTGAAGACCTTTTAAATCCAAAGAAACTGAATATCACTCCAAGCTGCGTTCGATAATGATAATTAATAAAGCCATTTGGTTTGCCAATGAATTGTTTTTCTTAAATCCTGCATATTCTGGACCGAATTTTCCATGAAAAGCATTTTTAGTCTCTCTAGAATGATGCAGCTCAACATTTTGTTTAGGGTTGGCAAGAGCACGATTCCAGGCTAGTTTTCACAAAAACTTAAGTTGCTGCTCTTCAGTAGTTTAATAGGGCCGCCCTCCTACCAATCGGGAGGTACCTTACCTTCCTTCTGCTCTTTTTTACATTTCCTTAGCTGCTCCGTTCGTTGATCTCAGCTCCTGTTTTTGTTGTTCACTTGCGCATTCTTCTGAAATCAGTTCTAATATCTGTCTACACTTTCAGCGTCATATCACTCATTAGAAATTTTACCACACCACTTGGCTGGGGTCTTCTCCACTACTTAGTGCAACTAGTTAACTTTTCGTTTCTTCGACTGTAATTAAAACTAAATTGTTTCCCGATTAATCCACTATCTTTTATCCATTTGCATATGAATGATTTTTAAAGCACTTCTACTGTAGTGCATTTTATCTATAAGAGGTTGGACAACTTAAAAGTCTGTTTGAATAGTATAGGTGAGGAGTCAGAGTTTTCGTGGATTCATTTAGAAAGCAAACAATCAAAGCGTTAGGCCTGTACAGAGAGGCAATTTATGTTAACAGAGTATTGTGGACATACAGTTATCACTTCTGAATAAATGGGTATGGCATTAACTCACTTAAAACTATTCTAAATATAGGAATAATTTCATAAGATGGTTTTAGTGACTTAATACCATGTAACCTTCTAGTAACTAAAATGTAGAACACAAAATTGGTATGCGTTTTCAAATTAGAATTGCGGTGATTGTCATAGAAGTATTAAATATGTTGTCAGATTTAAACAGTTTAAATTTTCGTATCACTATTAAATACATTAGAATTAAATTTCGACAGTTTTATCCTATACATTATGGTCTTGCTTCCGAAGTAGACCATTTTTTCACGTAAACTGGAAACATTAAAACCATGTGGAGTATAGTCGTTCGTATTTAGTCAAAATCTGTTAACAATCACTAAGTAATTTATGACTTGGTCAGTTTATGTAAAGATATTCTCATAGCAGTTTTACGAAATGCAAAATAAACTACGAATTTAAGGTATGTATATGTTCGCTTTCCATCCTTTATATTCTGTGATCAAATAAACTTCATAGATGATTGGTGTAAGGAATTTTCATCTTCATCATAGTAAAAAGAAATTAGAAGTTCACGATGAAGATGATAATATCTTAATGCTCTCTAGGCTTTGTAAGTTGACTGTGGACGTTTCATCACTGCATACATTTCCTAACAAAACTTTTTTTACAGGGAAACAAGCCATTTTTAGTACATTTGAAGAATTTAAATTAAAGCTTCAACAGTTTGGCAAGATTCCATGATGAAATAAGTTTATTTGGTGATACAACATACAGTGATAAAATATTATCCATTTATTAATGACGTTTTGAGCACAATTTATTGCTCATAATCATATCAAGGTATTCACACGACTGTCAGGTTTCATTTGTATGTTGTATAATAATCAAAGTAACATTATTACCATAATACAAGTAACTCAAATGTAAAATAAACAGAATATATATACCAATAGTTAAAAACTGATAAAATAATAAGCTTTCCATTATAAGTAAAAGCTAGAAGACAATTAAGCAGTTAATAAAATGAGAACTGAAGAAAGTGATGTAGAATTCAGTAAATACATTTTGTTTTAGACATATTAAAAACATTGATTCATCTAAATCATATGTTGATACTCTCATAAGATCGTCTGCTCAATGATTGTATACCAGTGATGATATATTCTGGGAGCGTTAATCAAGTAGTGTATTAATTGTTGTAGTATTCGTTGTCATTTTTCTGTCCCTCTTGATATACGATCGACACCAAGGGAAACATGAAAATACTGTGTAGAAGCCTTTACGAAATCTGTGTTGATATTGGGATTTTGATTGTTGGTATTGTGGTTTTGTTATGCACCAGTCGATTTTCACCATCACCATGATGAAAAACAAAGCAAAAAACAAAACACTCAATGAATCAGAGTAACGCCTATATATAAACGTGAAAATTAAACTTAAGAAATTCATTTGTAGAAGGAAACATAACTGTTACTGTTTTTATCAGTAGTGATAGCAATAACATCTTTGTTTACAATGTTCACTAAACGCCTTAATAAATAATATACTAGCTACTGAAACCATGAGTGAAAATTGTAGTCAACCTGTTCAATCAAACTTCAAAACAATAGGCACTGATTCACACATGTACTAAGCCAAACTTCAGAAACATAGGCAGCCTTAACGGTGACTGATCCACTGAAGTTTAATAATGTTGTCAAGTAATTGTTAATGCAATTAGCTAGGATTTATAGGCATTCACAGGTCAAAACCTATCTCCAAAGTTATCTACGTATTTTCAGAAATGCTGTTCTATGTCTATACATATTTGAGAAAATGCTAAACAGTAATAATATTTTGTTAAAGACAAATACATCAGTATCATTATCGTGTTATCGGCATGCACCGAAAGGTTGATACATAATTAAAATTATTTTGTTGGGAAAAGTGAATCAGTGTCTCTCAGTACTCTTTAGATTCACGGAGTATTTTCAGGTGGCTTATTTAATGGTTACAATAAAAGTACTTATTAACAGTAGCAATTAAAAGCTTTATAAAACACACAATAAAAAAGTGAGAAGAATACTCCAAATTTTTTAGAATAAAATTTCAAGCTAAAAAATTCCTAGAAATTATACTTACCTATGAGTTTGTTTTTCTAATAAGAATAATTAAAAATATTTCCTAACACAGAATAACTTTCACAAAAAGCTGCAAGTTCAACAAATTTTCAACTCTTTACATAAAACAGCACATGTCTATAAACAGTTAATTAGTACCACCTAGAAACATACGTCTTATGGCAGGAGTAGTGTAGTGTTCAGCTCATTTCTAGTGAAATATTGGACACAAAGATTAGAAATTCACGTGGATCTCTAGAGCTCAGGTGCATATTTTACATGTTACTGTATTCCCTTAGCTCAGTGATTTACATTGGAATCCTTCATATTCTTTCTAATTAACATATTAGTGATTACGTTTACAGTAAAGTAAGAGGATACATTAACAGCAAAAGCATACAGCTACTCAATGCTATATTATAAAGGATTTTATGAGTAAATACTCTACAGTGGTTGATTTATATATAAATATATTATGCTATCTAGATTTATGAGAATATGTTGAGCCTTTCTCTACTGTGTTGGACAACAAAGCTCCTAAATACCTCGAAATAAGGTAATTTGATTTTTACCCTTCATCTTGCAGCTTGAGATAATCGCTGGAACATCTCAGCTTTGTCAGTTGTAACGACATATTTATTAGTAATGTCTAATATTCATTGAACTCTGCTTGAATATCCAAGGCTTCTCCGCATGATTAGTGGAGGTAACCGTTGTACACATTTGTAATGTGAATGGATAAAAGACATTTCGTTCAGATGGTACTGTTCTTTCGGTTGAAACCAATAGGTAATGGTAATGACAGGAATGCTACTGATATAGAGTGTTTTTCTGACAGTTGTGAACTTCAGAGGGAAACACAGTTTTATTTATTATTATCCCACAGAGTTAGGCATATTTGCTTTTCTACTTTTTGTGTTCCACTATCCTGAAAATGACATACGTCAGTAGCAATTAATAAAATATTATAAGATTGTGTGACTCTTTCTTTGAAGTACTCACTGCTTTAAGAAAAAAGAGTGAATTATTTGATGTTTTACTTGATCTAGTAATACAGCTTTACATATAAGTTATGTCAGATGCTTTTGTCGATTTTGTCGTAAACATCGGTGGTGTCTAACGTTATGAGTTTAAATGAATAATTTTTAGTTATGCACTACAATTGTATGACATACTTATGAAAAACAATTTCGAGGAAGGAAAACGTTGTATGGGATGAAGCGTTCGTCTTACTTCAACATTTTTCACCATTTCTTGGCGAAAAGTAACTTCGGACATTGATAAGGAAATTCAAGCAATTTAAATTAAAATAGATATGATTTTAAAAAGCCAGTATCGCATCGTTATATTTCATAATCACTGAATGAATAATAATACAGTAAAGCACATTCACTTTGGAATTATAAACGTGATTATTTTATTTTATTGTGTTTGATCAAATATTCATTGAATCATTCTGAATGTCACATGGTTATTGGCACTGTATTTTGAGGATGTAGCATGTTAACTTACAGATTTTAACTTCCAACTCTGACATTTTGCGAATAACAGTAAATTATACTTATTATTTGTTGTTATTCATTTTCAGATTATAGGATTTGTGGGGAATTTGGATTCATTTCAGCTGATCGATTTTCGTCACCAACCAACATCAGTTAGGGAGATATTTGAAAACCAGAGAGCAATGGACAGCTGTTTCGTCCTATCTGAGGACTGTTCACGATCCCATCACAGACCCAGCCTGAGACCTTCAGGTTATGAGAACAGACTCGTTAACCATTGAAGTATTCGGGCTGGAATTCAATGATCCGTGAATTCTAACTTTGACAACTAGTGATAAAGCATTGCTTTTACCGATTCCTTCGGTTAGCATCCACTTCACTTTGGCATGGCGGACTCCAACCCTCATGACTTCCGACTGCAACTTCAAGAAATCTGTTCAAAGGCCATCACTGAATTGTTGATGGACGTTCAAATCACCAGACTGCTAATCATATACAGCTTTAGCAACTTTTCAGAGATCAAAATACTGAAACTAAAAGTTCCAACTCAAACAGACACGTGATAATAAAAGTTTCATTTTTGTCAAAATGAAACTACACTTAGCAATGCTCTGAACCTAAAACGTCACTATTGCTTTATCGAAACTACAATATGCACATATATTCTTAGCACTCGAGACTGTCATTGTGCTCATTTTCATAAAAAAGGGCATTAGTTAAAAACTTTAGTTAAATCTGTTTTATTTAGTTTCATTAAAGCTTTTGACCAAATGTGACTCTATCCATATATCTGAAAATAAACAGTAAATATTCAACACGAAAGTGAAAATCAAATAAGAAGTCTTATCAAGTATTATTACGTTCTGCTCCGTTTACTGTATATATGCAGTAAATTAAGGGAACTAACACCAGAATCATTACGCAATAGAAGTTGAAGTTTATTTCCAGCAGATAAAATATAGTGGAAAAATTACATTACCCACTTACTTCTTGTTCATTAAAACATATATAATTGGATTGTACATTGAATTACTCATTGCTAGCCAATAACAACAAATGAACACAACTGGTAACTTATGGTTATTTTTAATTGCTGGATTTAATTGTACAATGATGAAAAACAACTGATACGGTAGCCAACATATCGCGAATATAAGCATAACTGCGCAAAGCATTTTCACAGCCTTTGAAAGAAAGTAAATATCAAGTGTTCAACTATGAAATTTGACAGTAAATAAAAACTACAGAAATGCGCGAAGTAATATGTACTTGTTATTTGAGACTGAGGTTTCAGCAGGCCAAATCAACCAGCAATAAAATGAACATATTTGTTTCGTCTATAAACGCAGCTGCATGAAGCTGTTTCAAGCAATGAAACCATTTTCTAGAAGTACATGTCTTGTTAGTCACTAACTTCTAGTATGTTCACTATTGTAAAAATGGTCACTTTAGTTTAATTTCTCACTTGCTTTTTTTCTATAGTTGGTTTATCAGGATTAGATTTGTTTATACACGTTTGACTGCGGATTGATATCAGTTAGAGAACCATTGGAAACCAGGGAGTACTGGACAGCTGTTTCATCCTAGTTTGGAAATCATCGTCAGTTGAAAATTAATTCGCAATTCGCCATTTACACAGCGCGTTGCCAACTTTCATCAGTCTCCTTTGGAAGCCAAAATTACTCAGATCACAAAATGTTTTTTGCTTGATACTATAAATGGCTATCAAGCATAATTACATCACTCTGTGTACTCCTGATGGATGGGGATGAGTTGCATACCACTCACATCATGTAGTAGTGATTGTTAGTCAAAATGAAGTGATCTAACCAGTCGGAAGACAGTTTTGCTCATTATCCAGCCATATATAAAAACTGTGTTATTGCATACTGTATAAGATGAATGAATTTGTGAAATAGTTGGATAACTGGATTCACCATGCTTATCTCAGTACACAAAACAACATTCACTAATCCTATTATATTATTCAAAAATGGAAACCTAATTCTACAAAAGAGACGAGTAATATTTATGGCAGGAATACAAAAACTTTGTGTAGCACAAAAAACCCAATAAGTGGTTACTAAATGTAACAACAAGAATTACATACAGATTAACAAACTATGGAGAGTGGTTGGAAACTTAACAAAACACTAAAGAAGAAAGTAAGATACTAAATAAAATAACAGCCGAACTATTTTACTTCCCTGAATCTCACTTTATGACTGTTCAGTTAAATAAGCCATTGGATTCATAAATTATCGTCGGAGTTGTTCTAGCAGCATAGATAACTGCTCAGCTAGATAATTCTTGTATACGAAAAAACCAAACCTCACAAAATCACAAAATATCACGTAATGGTTAAAAGCTAGGGCTTTTTCTATCGAAATAACATGAAGTGCATAACTTGGTATTCTAGACATCTGGCAAAATATATTGGGTATCTGTTAAAATCACGCTATCAATTGAGCTGTTATACCAAGAAACTTTCTAAATACTTACACGTCTTTTAGAACGAACATTTTGAGCTTGTGCTCTGGTAACCTCTCCAAGTCCTCTATGAAACCATAAGTGAATTGAGATTGGGACATAGGTGGCGGCGAGGATTATCAACGGCAGAACATACATTAAGATAAACAATGTGTAATCATACCTGAAATAAAAATCCACTTGTCAAAAATCATCGTTTATTCTAAAGTTAATTATATGATTTCATCAAAATAACAACTGGCCTCTTACAAAGATAGTTTAAATATAAAACTGTATACAAGATAATATCTAAATAATATGCTGGATGAATGAATGATTCCGTATCCAGGAAAATTCCGTGAATATATGAGAATACCATATGTGGATTGTCTTTAAAGAGACACTGCGCGACAAGTCTTTTATTGAGAGAAACAGTGTAGATGAATCATGCATTAACCACTGCTAAATTTGTGAATAATTATTTTTTGTTAGGTGCTTGAAAAATGCGTGACCTGCCACCTGATTCCCGAAAAGAAAAATATCCTTGTACTCAGTTTAAGAATGGTACATAAAATGACAGTATCGAAGATATTACATATATGAAGTGCGAATTTCGCCAATCAAATGTATTCCTTTATTATCTGTATAACTGTATTTCTGTTATAGTCTAAAACATTACAAATCTTTTTTATGAATAACCTCAGCAAAATCTTTCAATTAGACACATCTATTTTCGGAGAAACTGATGAACATGAACTGTCTATGCGTGAAACTTCACTATTTTCACCACCTGTAATTTGTACTATTATCATTTAAACCTAAGATAACTGAAAATATGAGACGAATATACAGTCATTTACTGAATTCATGTCCGTTAATCATTATATTGAGGCCATATCCCACTCATAGCAATAGTTAAGGTTATTAAGGGTTAAAATAATAAAGCAAACATAGGTTACGCCTATTACTCCAGCACTGGAAGAAATCTTGAGAAATGAAATAAAAACGAGACTACTTTACTCACTGGAATCAGTCCACTTACTTTCTTATCTATGACTTTGCTAAAATGAATCAATGGACTAAAATTTATCTTATACTTTCAATTTGATTGAAAGAATCTGAAAGGCACGATGTTTCCGTCACTTTGTTAATATCAAAGCATACGCCATCACGTTGAACTGAAGCTGAATGTCTTGAAAGCAGATTTCGTGCTTGCTGGTACTTAGAGGTTGATCATATCTCCAAACATATGACATCTGGGGATGTTATTATCAGTAATTGAAGCCATAAGTTATCTATATAAATTATGGTGTCTCTCGGGATTAAATCTTGAAGATAAAAAGTCTACTAAATACGGAGCATTATTGCTGCATGGTCCTAATTGCTGTAAGAATCAATAACAGCTACACTGATTACTAATGAACGATCCAAGTGCATTTGACCTGAGTAGTCTTCAGATAGATCAATGAAATAGGCATTACAGAACATGAATTTAGATATAACCAGGTTGTTTCAACTAATAAATTGGAGGCTGATTTCTACGATCTTATATCAAACTAAAAAAGCACTGTAGTTTGGAACCATGTTGTGTATCAGAGGTTGGTGGCTAGATTCAATGAACTTAATGTACGTGTAGAACTTGGACACCGTAGTAGAATGTAATTCTATGTTAGATAGTTATTTCAAATGTACTTATATAAGTCTAATTATGAAGTTATGTGAGTGAGTTGATATGACTATGAGCGATAATTTATGCTCCAGTTAATAATACAGCGTCTATGTGTGGTATCTGAAATAAACTTATCTAATATAGAACTCAGTGGACTAAGGACTCAAGAAAATGAAATATATTCCTAGTATGATTTAACAGTATACGAAGCATATTTCATCTTCCCCACTACGCTATTTGATCATACATTATTTACAACATTCATATTTGTGCTCAATGTTTAAAGTGTGTCAGTTTTTGCATATTGATATAAAATTGGTGTAAGTCGTAAGCATCTGATGCGACTCAACGAAATAAAACATAATATTATCCTCCTTACTTTCCTGATTTCGATTCGTTCAAGTTCTTTAAGGGAAGTGACAAATATACTCCAGTTTTGATTCACTCGCGTTGCTCTCTGTTATCTTTTACTAAAATTGACTGTGGTAAAAAACGTGTTTTCCTTGAGACAGAAGTTTTATTCCTTAACCTGTAAAGATATTCCAGAGTATATAATATCTCAAGTACTATAGCCTACGTCACTGCTTGAATAGGTAAAATTTTTTTCACTTGCTGTATTGTATGAAAATACTGATGACAATGTACATAGTAGTACGGTATGCGTACATCCTTACTTTGAAATCCCTGTAGATTTCATGAGGATAAATGAAAGCAAAAACTTTTTATAGTTTAATCATTCAAAATGTGCATATTTATTATTCTGATGACTGCCCCACTATTCTGTTACATTTAAAAACAACTTTGCCTCATTCAAGAGAACTGCAACATCAATAAAAATGTACGCTAGGAATCTTGTATTCATATCAATTATTCACTGACTCATTCATATAAATTCAAACAATAATCGTCATAAAGACTCACGCATCGGACCATTCTGGAGACCAACTGTAAATACAAACACTTGACACGTTTTGACTGATAGACTCAGACAAAGTTTGATTTACTGTGGTGAATTCGTCTGTTAAATTCATCATATTCTCAAACGGTACTGATTCTTTTTGGGAAACAGTAGCCACAACTAGACCAGGTAACCCGATGGCAAACGATATTAACCATATAGCCGCTATAACACAGATAACTGTTTTCAGTTTTGAACGTGGCCGAAGTGGGAACATTATAGCGGTGTATCTGATAAAATAAAAAGAGAAGTAGGCAAACAATTTTTAGATAAATTTTTAAGTGTTATCCTGTTATAAAATTAGTTCGGTAACTGCTCTTTAAAACCATTACACAAAACCCGAAAATGAAGTAAAGAATATATCCTTGTACACAAAAGATCCTAAAAACTCTGTAGAATTATAACACCCTATCATTTTTATTGCGTAAAGCGTCCGCTCAAAGACACTGATCTATGCCGTATCATCAATACTAGACCATAGAGTTCACACGTTTTGTGACTTTATTCATTTGTTTTGGTGCACTTCGTGGTGTATTTGCTCTCTTTTCAGCCGTTGTGCACAATTCCATTGTTGGTAACAGACTTGAAGTACACTATCGACAATATACTGTAAAGTTCATATTTTTATTTGGAGAAATTGTGGGTTTGAACAAAATAAGATACAGTTATTGTGAATTAAACCCAAATAAGAAAGTACAAGTTGGGCGTCAGAAGGTGACAAGCAGGAGGTCGTATGAGAAAGAGATGAAAGGTTATGGGCAATTATAGAGTAAGCTAAAGAGGACTGCAAGGAACAGGACGAAATGGAGATGTGTTGTTGATGCCCAGTGTTGCACCTTGTGAATTGATGACACGTATTTTATGAATACTGGTTTCTATTTCATTTCATTAATATAACTCAAGCCTCCCTAATATATAATCTAATGTATATGGTTTCCGTATGAATTAAAATGTATTTGACAATGACGTTTGTTAGTGTGAATAGACTGGAAATTTACTATGAATAATATTACAGTGTCTTCAAGTTAGCATAAACTGATCGTCTATTTTCAATAATCACTTTGTTTGGGCCTATCTTTTTTAAAAATATTTTTCATTAGAGCTTGATTCCATACAGTATCTTGGTACAACTATGAAATTTTTAGCATGTGATATATGTAGCCCAAATTTAGCAGACCGATCATTGATTTCAGGTGTGCGTCGGCAGGGGATCGAATCTTGGACCGTGTGTATGGTCGGTGAGCGTCCTAACCACTGTGCCACTAAAGTCTGCTTGAAAAATATGGCATCAAAGTCATTTTAAGAGGATGTGAATTAATGTTTATTAGTTTGTAAGAATAATTTTATTCTGTATTTTCGAATGCATATACTCAGTGACGCACCAAAATATCTCATATTTAACCAGTTTGTCCTTTTCGATTTAGCTATATACCACGAAATGTTTATAATATTTCATCCTGTTTCAAAGATATTATCTAATCATCACTACTTATATGAACTAAAATATTAACAAGTGAGAACACTGTGGCTGCAATCAATTTGGTTACCAGTGTATAATTGATGGTTATGTTAGACTACAACTTCACATAGATTCTCAGTTAGTACTATGATCATTCATCACACACCGAAGTGAGTTAATTTTTTCCTGGAAATAAATAACTGCAATATAGGCATTTTAAGTTGTGTTTCAAATTCACGAGCAAGTAAAGTGTATAAAAATAAAACATAATGAATCACACAGAATTACTGGTAATTAAATTTGACAGTTTCGTAATTTTCAACTAAAACTGTCTGACATGCAGAACTTGATTGTAATTCCTTCGTTAATAATGCTTTTTATTAAAACAAATTTACAGTTGTTATATGAAATAAATATCTATTTCTGTTGCAAATATGAAAAGAAATGTTCAACGATAGGCATACAGATTTTCTTCTCTTTGTATATATCTTAACCGAATTTAATTCATTAGAAAAAATTAGGCAGTGGTTGTTACAGAATTCGAACATCCTAGTCAAAGTAGAACGAAAGCAGGTTTCTTTCACTCATATTCTAATAACGTTGTGAATACATTAATTAACCGGATTTACAAGACCTGACGCTATATCTGGTGCGTCGGTGGTTCGGCAGCAGAATGCTCCCCATACTCCTAAACCTCGTTTAGCCAGTAACAAGACTGGGAAAGAGGGAAGGCTGGGAGTGAGGATATCAACCCCACCCCATAGAGAAATAACACTACTGCTACCGAAACTTCAGAAAATCAAAGCTTGAAGTTCCATGTTCCACCGGAAGAGCAAAGGAATAAAATAGAAATATGTAATAATGCGTTATATAAGATTTTCTGTGTGAAATATTACTGAATGTTCAGTTGAATAAATGTGACCAGTATGACATATACATATATATAATTGTTTAGCATGATATTTAAGAACAATGACAATTTTTACAAAAACTATTATGTCAGCTTGTCAAAGTGGATTGAGACCAGACCAAATGTCTCCTGATTGCACCAATTTCACGTCACAGAAATCCATTTACACATGCTTTAAAATGTTTTTGATATAGGAACATGTTTTTCTCATTTCTAAAATAGTTTTGATCCGGTTTTGTTATCATCAGAGTTCATCTTATAACCTTACTTTCTGACAGGCAACCTTTCTAACGGAGATTTTTATGTTTACTGAATTTTGTAACAGATGAAGCAGAATTTTCTAGGAATTCATTCCTAAAATACCTTATCCAATGCAGATTGTACAAAAACTTATCTTTCCCTAAAAATTTCTTCTTACATAGTATCATTACATTTTAGTTAAGAATGTCATCGAGCATGAGCACTCAGATCTTATGTTTTCATACCTACATTCCTTGGAAATATTTGCAGACATTTATAACTGATAAGATGCATTTTCAGAATAACCTTTCCAGTGGTAGTCCGCCGTCAGGGTCATTGAAGATTACGACAGTATTATTCATTTGTTTTCAAAATCATATTGGGATACTTAACTCAGTTGACAGTGTGTAATGTCAATGCTCTGGTGAAAAAATCGCCGCTGAACTACTAATAAAATATACAGTACAACTGAATTAGAAAGTAAAATTCCTGGCAAAAATATGGGTGTTTTGGATTAAGGTAGCTACGAACTGTCATCAGATGAAAACATGCATGTATTGAAACTAATGGCGATGTCAGTTATTTTGTGTGAAAATATGAAAATACAAGTTATTTATACTTCACATTCACACTTTCAAACTTTGAACAATCACCCAACTTACAAGCACTAAGACTCAGACTACCATTACACAATGGAGAGATTAAGGGAAACATTTCCTGAATGCACTGTGTGCGTCACTTGATTCTCGATAAACCTGAATATTGTTTAGATTCTTTGTTATATACTTTGTTTGACATTCCACAAATGAGGGTCATCCTATATAAGTATACATACAAAATTTTGTGATGATAGTTCACTATTCATATGGCAAGAAATAAACCGCGATATATCCCCAGATAATCTTATGAACACCAAAAGTAATTGAGACTGACCATGAGGTTTAGTACAAAAAAGAATATACATGGAATACTTAAAGAATCTTCTGATTCTGATACCTGTTTGTTATAATACAGTATTTGAGTAAAATTATTATTTCTTTGTCTTCATATACAAAATTTACTTATTTACTTAGTATTTTTATTTGCTTATTATTCTGCCAAAAAAGTGAAACCTAAGTAACTGAACACAACGATTAATTTCACTTCGATACAGTGCATAGTTTACGATCAAAATCAAGTGCAGGCTGGTGTCATTAGTGTGTTATAGTTACTCGACTACTGCTTTAATCTAAAATGTCCACATTTAAATTTTGATTCAAATAAAGAATGTAATTCCTAACTTTAAAATTACATCATCATATATATTTTATAAACTGAGGAGTGCACATTGCACTACTGCCACTGATTTTGATATATATATATAATTTTGAATAGGACATAAAATACATTTTCCTGGATAACTTTTAATGCATGAGGTCCATAATAGTAAAACAAAAATAATGAAGCAATAAGAATCACTGATTATTCTCAGGGGAAGTACTTTTTTATTTCAACTTAGTGTACTGAAACAAAATTCACAACTTGACTCATTTAGAAACGAAGGAAATTTTATTCTGGAACACTTATTCTGGTTAGAAAAACAGACGAGAAAAAAAAGAACTACAAAGACCATTTCACATTTAACGAAAACACCGAAATTTTAGAACATTATGTTTAAATAAGAATTTTCTCCTATTGGTAGAAACGCTTTGGATTGCAGAAAACGATAATATTCCACCTTTAACAATGAAATTTGAATAGTAGAATGAGTTTCTGTTTGACTAATTTAGAATTTTAAGCAGTATATACGATTTCATATATCTGTCATGGTACGTCCACGATTTCCTCTTGCCACTATTTATTCTACACAAACACCCAATTAGGGTGAAATGTTAACAAAATCACTTTTCTATTACATAAGTTGAATAAGTGAACGAGTGTTGAAAGAAAAACAGATATCTATATACAACTTATGATTGTTGATAGATGGTAACCTTATAAAAATTCTGATTAAGCCAAAACACAAAACATTGTCCTAAAAGTATGATCAGCTGTTGTCGAAATATCCCATGAAAACAACATGGTTTTATTTATGGACATCTAATATTTTGTTTTTCCCTCAGTAACCAGTGTTCATGAACCTATTCACTTATATTGACACTACCATGCAATAAACATGGCTAGTGGTTACATAATATAGAAAGTAATTAAATATTCATTATGATTTTATTGCCTTCAACCGAAATTATGACAACGCATTAATTATTTCAAAAAAAATATTCCAAAGATTATTGCGTTGCTCTAAGCCTTTTGTATTTTACTGATTTTCCTAAAGCCCCTAACGATTGCATATTCTAATTCACATTCTGAACTAAAAGCTAAGAATGTGCTATTTTGGCAAGTATTTACTTCACGGCTAAACCAAGACAACGTTTTATTGGTCTTTAGCGTGCCGATAGCAGTCTGCCATTTTAAAATACGATCTAGAAGTTAATCTAAGTGACACGGCACTGGTGGCACACAGAGCGGACATAAGTGTTCTGAAGATTGCTGGTTAGTATAGTTGTTAATGGCTAGCGGATAGTAAAACCTACATTTACAGTATCCTGATAATCTACTGGTTACAAAACCTGCTGTTAAAT